TTTTTTTTTTTTTTAAAGCTAGATTAAACTTTGACTTGTTTTCCACAGGCAAGTCTCATTCACTACTACCACATTCATTATTCACATTGTTAAGCAGAACAGCCATGTGTTTCGAGGCCTAGGTTTCTTTGCTAGGTAACATCGGTGCATTCCATTTTAAGACTTTTAAAATCTGTTTCCCAGCATATGACTTTTTTTCTATATATGCCCCTGCATTCATCTTTATTTATATGCAGGGTATGAATAATATAACAAAAAAGTGGAGAATCTTTTCTTCTTCAGTAAGATGTTTTATTTGTTACGATACCCTTTCAGTATGCTAAAGCAGTCATTCTTTTATCTCCAGAGAAAGAGATAAACAGTACACTCTAAGCAGTGAAAATTTACACTGAAATCAGTTTCTTTTTATCCTTAAATTAGGATTAGGCATTAGTTTTTAACATGGTAAAATTTCTGAATAAACCATATCAAGCTTTACCAATTGGTGTTACAATCAGAGACAACCACAAATATTGTTTGCAGTCTAACAATACTTTTCTCCCCCTCCCCACCCACCCTTTTTCATCTGAGTCCTCGAATAAGGTAGCATTATGTTAGGGAAACAACTTCAAAAGGATAAGGTTTACATTTGTATTTTTAATAACCATTTCTAATACCTTTAAGCCACTGCTGAAACACCTGTTATTTTGAGTACATCTGCTTTAACTATTTCCCAGTAATGGAACTATCAGTTATAGGAAGCTTCAGTTTCTAACTGTATCCAACTTAGGCAACCAGGTTTGTATTTCTGCTGTTTTTACCAAACATATGATTCACACCTTAATTTAGTAAAAAATTAGCAATACAGAGCTCTGAATGTATAGTTTATTTACTGTTTAATATTCTAGACAAACAAAGCTCATGATTTCTTCTACTACTACTACTAAAATAACTTCTTTTTTTGGAATATTATGGGTGAAAAGTCTCAAGAACTTCCTTAAAGTAGGGTAAGCCTCACAAGAAAAAACAAAGACTACGAACTGGCCACTTAGCTAAATGCAATGTAATTGCAGCTCAACCAATGTCTCCATGACTGAAATTACAGTGTCTCACCAAGTACACCAATTTCAACTTGGCAGCTGTTTATTCAGTAATGTATAATTTTTTGGGGCGAGATAATGAAAGCGTGATGACGCTGTTCCAAAACCGCAGAATTTGTAAACTGATAAGAGGTACAAGAACAAAGCTTTCATGCTTGAAAACTTAACTTACCTCAACTGGCATGGATGTGTAATACATTTTTTAAAACAAGGACAATTTTCACTCAAAATAAACTGAAAATGCCATACTGCCACTGTCTTTGCCAGAACTACTAATCAGTTTTGAGTATCTAGATTATGGTTTGCTGCTCCTCTCATGAGAAAGCATAAGCCATGCATTTCATACAGACTTTTTTAATTTACTAAGTTTCTGGTTCTTATTTAACCAAGAGCAACAGAAGTGGCAGATAGAAATACTACTTACGCTGCTATAACCTTCTGGATGAACCTTGCCCACTAATTTACTTATCTGTAAATAAGTATAATTTACTTACCTGCCCGGCTCTTTGATTTCCTTCCACTCTTCTTGAAAGTGTTGCTACAGTGGCTACTTCTAATTGGGTTGGATATCTTTTCATATTGTAAAATAAATACAATATGGTAGATATGCCAGACTCAAATATTCTCTGAAGGGCACCATAGTCAATAACCTCTCATTATGTGAATATCTCAGCATTGTTACAAAAAAGTTTTTCACAAATCCACACTGTTGAAGTCCTGCGGAGCAGAATTAAAGCTTGCTAATGGGGCAGGGGCTACATTTTTACATTAAAAAATATCAGCACAAACTTCTATTTTTGAGAAATTGGAAAATACACCTCAAGGATACCAAATGAATATCCTACAAGAGTTGTTTAGGTTCCAGAAAAGCCTTTAGCACCTCCATTCTCTTCCATCCCAAAGCTCAGAGTCTGTACCCTCTTTCATTCTCTGTTCAACCTCACATACTCAGTTAAATCTTTGGCAGTGGAAGTCAAACTTCTTTTTGGCACATCTTAGTGGGAAACTTAAATAAGTAATAAATTGCCCTCAGAGGGGTGAAGTATTTGTATCTATAGTGTATACATGTGCCCTACTTGTCTGAGAAAAATATGACACATGCTGTCAACAACTGAACAGTTGTGGAAAGTGCAGCTAGTTCTATTAACTTGATCTTAAACGCCAAGTTAAATCAACAGCTTCTTTTCTTTCTTCTCAGAAGAGAAGTAATTATTTTAAATATGTAGTTGCAGCCAAGAGAAAGGGAGAAAGAAGGCGAGAATAGTCAAATTAATCATAACGAGATAATTATTTGTTCCTTGATTTCCAGTGTTCAACTTACCTCTGTAATAGAATAGACACAGATCAGAAAGTACAAACCACCGTTTCTTCCACAGCTTCATTCCAGTACTATCCTGCATTTAATCAAAATATACAAATAAGCATTTCTGGACAATCAAGAATAGTTTATACTGAAAACTAGCATACTTTTCTCTCTCTCTCTCTTTTTTTTTTTTAATTGTGAAGCTGTACTATCTAGTTATTATCTCGACTAAGTGCACTGGCATTCAAAACACAGATGATAATCCAGAAAACATAGTTCCTCTGACTGAAAAGTAAATTAAATGCAAATCTATTATTTTAAGAAGCTAGATAAAAAGCAATTCATTGTGAACAGGAAGGAGGAAAAAGACATACATATTTTTAAATGGAGCTATAAAATATAAGCTACCTGAAAAGCTATTCTTACCCTTTGTTGCCTTTCGTATCGAGAGTCTGCCAAACTCCATCCTCTATGACTACGTGCACAAATAAAGCAAATTTCTCTTCAACACAAATTTATTCCTAAAGCAATTTCATCTGCTTTTATGTTTATAACCCATTGGTAATGCATTTCTCAGAACGAATGGCTGTCACCACTACTGCAGAGTAAATAAGATGAAGCTTTGCAAGTGTGCACATCTTGGTAAAATTTGATTAAATAAATAAGTTAATGTTCTCCAATAATAAAAGGGTGTGAGATTTTTAAGTATGCATGCAGTAAATAGGTTTTTAAGTGATATCCAAGAAGGGTGGCCCTATGGTAAAACTCAGAGCTTTAAATATACTCAAACAACAGATGAAAAGATGGGCGTGCGCACACTTTTTTTTCTCCTTAAGACAAGTCAGCAAATATGTTGGCATCTCTTTTCAAGTTCTCTTCCCATAGGTAAACTCAGCATCCAGAATTTGCATGCCAAACACACTGGCTCCTTACGTCACTTGTGGCACATGCAAAGCAGAGTGGCCACCACTATCCTAAACCAGACGCAGAATTGTACAACCTGTTGGAAATATTACGGATCTTCTTTATGTCTTCCTTTAAAATAAGAAGGGACACAGGACTGTGGAAATAATGGTTCTGGTGTTGCAAATCCTATGCTGTTTTAAAACACCTTTCCATGTACAGAATAGGTTACTATTCTTTTCCTTCTAGTTGTGGTTATATCTCATTATACAAACTTGATAACAAACACTTAAAGAATGAGGAAAACCCCAGCAGATTCAGGAACCAGAACTGAAAGAGTACGCTAAGAATACAATTACTATACAGTGAGGGAGAGTAAGCTGTATTTATTCTAATTTAAGCTTTTTGAACATAGCTTCATGGATACATAAGTATTTGGTAAGCTGACCTGGGTCACCATCATTGCAGTTACATTCACATGATGGAAATTTAGAGCATCTCTTTCCCATTTGAAATCTTCAAATGAGTTATCATCAGTTTTTTGTCTAAGCCTCCTCCAACATTTACCCAGAAATCCAACAGCTGTTGTCTTCATTTGTGAATAAGATATAAATCCCTTTTTAAATTGCAAGTTCTATCTTAGCAAATAAGGAGATGACAACTTTTTGAAAAATTAGCATAATTGTTTAAATTAATGTACTAAATTCTCCATAGCAAAAGTATCCTCTATTTAGAAGATTTTCATGCTTGAATATTACAATGCTAGTAGGGTGCCCCAACCTGGCAAAGAAAGGATAAAACACCAGCGCATTCAATAAGTAGTAATTTGTTTTAGCAACACAACTATATCCTCCTACAAAAGTGCATTACAAGGACATCTTTGCATAAAAAGTGAGACTACTGGGGTGAGAAATGTAATGGAAGTTAATTCTGTCTTCTTTATATAGTCTGATTACATTGGCACACAGAGCTCTTTGAATCATCTAGTTAATCAGTTATCCTTCATGATGATGAAATCTATCAAACATGACAAAATCAGTATTACTTTACTGAATGGTGTTAGGGCTCTTTGGAGTTAGGGGCCTTTCTGACAATGTTTTAATTATATGCGGGGCTTTTGATTTTATGTTCACAGTAAAACACTAATTAAAATACTCCTGATAAAAATTAAGTAAGTATTTAAAAAGGAAAAACACACTAGAAATGTTTATTTGATTCATCTTGATTTTACCCCTTTCCCATTGGACATTGTTTATATATGGGAGTCCTTTGTCGGGTCACAATACAATACCATGTTAGGATGCAAACTTTTTAGGGGAAACATGAAAAGAAGTACCAAAGGAAAAAAGCCCTAAGTATATTAGGTAAGAAACAGTGAAATACCTCAGGATAAGCTTGTCCAGTAATTTGTTGCAAGTTTTAGCACTTTTACTCAACAAATTAGTCAACTAAAGCTGATCTGTTTTCATTTATTTTATTTATGACAATATTGTAAGCTTAGTACTTTGTACTAGGACAGGAATAGACTCTAGTAGAAAGAAGAATATCATGCATGTATGAAAGAGAAGAAATGGAGGAAGAGAAAAGGAAGAGTGCTTAAGGTGACAATGACATCCCATCTGGAACGGAAACACACTTGAATTAACACTGGATTATTCCACTACACATCAGATACGCACAATGGGCATTCATATAATCTGGTTTCTTTGGTTCTGTATCATCAAAACAAACAAACAAACAAACAAACAAACAAACAAACTTTGCTAACTAACTAGGAAATAAAATAGTAAAATCTTACAATGCAAATTGTATGAGAACATCTCTATATAGCCATACACCTCCTCTACCATCAAAACTGTAAGATTAGGCTCTGACATACACCAGGCTCTAGACCCTCTCCATGTTGTCCACATCCCTCTTCAAGTGCAGCGCCCAGAACTGGACGCAGTACTCCAGCAGCGGCCTGACCAGTGCTGCGTAGAGGGGGAGGATCACCTCCTTCGACCTGCTTGAGATGCATCTGTGGATGCATGACAAGGTACAGTTGGCCTTCCTGACTACATCCCCACACTGCCGGCCCATGTTCATCTGGGCATTAATGACGACTCCAAGATCCTTTTCTGCCTCTGTACTGATGAGAAGGGAGTTCCCCAGCCTGTAGGTATGGTGCTGGTTCTTCCTCCCCAGGTGCAGTACCTTGCACTTGTCAGTGTTGAATCCCATCCTATTCTCATCCGCCCACCCCTGTAACCTGTCTAAGTCCCATTGCAGCCTATTCCTCCCTTCTAGCGTGCCCACATTCCCCCACATCTTAGTGTCATTAGCAAATTTGAACAGCGTGCTATTTACCCCCTCATCCAAGTCACTGATGAAGATGTTGAACAGTGCAGGCCCGAGGACCGAACCCTGCGGAACATCCCACTGCCCACATCCCTCCAGGTCGAAAATGACCAATCCACCACCACTCTCTGGGTGCAGCCCTCCAGCCAGTTGGCAACCCAATTGACTGAGTGGGTGTCAACACCACAGTCCCCCAGTTTCTTGATGAGAACAGGGTGAGAGACAGTGTCGAAGGCCTTCTGAAAGTCCAGGAAGACTATGTCCACTGCTACACCTGCATCTAAGGATTTGGTGACCTGGTCGCAGAAGGCCACCAGGTTGGTCTGACAGGACCTGCCTCTA